ATCAGATTATGTAATGAATATGAGCTCAAACAGTTCTAATGAAAGTATAAACAGCGAAAACAGAAAAAGGAAGCGCAAAAATCAATCATGTAACTATATAATAATTAGATGTTACATCAAGATCTCTTTCAATTATTTTTTATCATGAATTATTTGTATTACAGGTCGTGAAACATATAAGAAAAAAAAACGATGGACAAATGAAGAGATAAAAAATGCAAAAACATATTTTTCACATTATACACGTAAAGGAATATTACCACCTTTATCGGAGATAGAAAAAGTTAAAATGAAATATAATGTTCTAAGAGATAGAAAAACTGATGTCATAAAAACATGGTTACACAACCAATTAAAAAAAAATAAGACTTTTGAGTAAATGTATCTACATTTAATTTTTAAGATGTATTGTTATATTTTATGGCATCCTATTTTTGATTTTTGAGTTTATTAAGATTTTGATTTTACAAATTTCAATTATGCCATTTTAGATATGCATTTTTATTTTTAAAATAATATGTTTTTAATTTTTGAGTCTATTAACTTTTTGATTATAAATTTTAATTACTAAAATTAAGATATGTATTTTTATTTTTGAAGGCAGAATGTTTTTTATTTTTTAGTTTCTCTATTGTAAGTTTCAATTACTGCATTAATTTGTTATGAAATGTCCAAGTTTATTTCTTATTATATATATGCTAATATTACTTATTAGCAATAAAAGTTAACAATAAGTTTTCTTTTCTTATAAGTAAAGCAAAATACATTTATTACATAATATATTTAATAAAATAAGAAATTATAAAATTGAAATTTAAGTTTCACTTTTAAGTTTTGAATTATATGTTCTTGCGAAATTGTTAGAGCATTAGCGATCCACATCTGCTATAACAATTGCTAAGCTAGCCAATTAAGACAAAATGTGGTGTCGCCGTTTATAACGTTTTTGATTGTCTCGATCGATCATCTATATTGATTTATAATTAGTTATCTCTCGCCATATTGATATAAAAGTTTGTCTCGTGCAAATACACGATGTGCAGTATTATATTTTTTCCTGTGTGATTTAGATATCGCATATCTCGTTCTGTCAAATAAAAATTTTAATTTTTAATTATTAAATTCTACTTCAAAAAAACTTGTTTACATATAATTATATGTTGAGAGCTAACTTTTGAAGTAAAATCATATGATTTGAATCTTAAATTCGGATATATAATAACGTCAATAAATTTTAGTTTAGGTTTTCAAATACACATTTGCATTGAAACTTGAAGTAGTTTTATTTTATTTTAAGAAGGCTACTGGTATCGGGGATTTTGCTTCAAATAATTCTGCTATTAGAGTGAGTATTATGTTTTTAGGTTATAGAAAAATTATTTGCATTATTGAACGTACGGCATGTTCCGGGACGGATAAAATTTTTTAAATGTAATGTTTCTTTGTATTATTTTGGTATAAATTTTAACTTTCCGTTATTACATTCTACTTCAAAAGACCATATTTACATATAATTAACTGTTAACATGTTATTGATTTTTATATTAACACCATGCGAATTGAATCGATCTTCTTACATAAGAGTAAAGTTAATAATTTTGGTTTAGGTTTTTACACCCACATTTGCACTGAAACTTGAAGTAGATTTATTTTTAAGAAGGCTTCTGGTAAGTCTAAAAAAAGTCATCGAGAATTTTGTTTTATATAATACTGATATTAGAGCGACTTAATAAGTTTTAAATTCTGGAAAAATATTTGCATTTTTGAACACATGGCATATTCCGAGACCGCTACAATTTTTGTAAAGTAATGTCTCTTTGTATTATTTCTATATAAATGTTAATTTCAATTATTAAATTCTACTTTGAAATATCATATTCACATTATAATTAAGTGTTGAGAATGGATTTTTAAATTAAAACGAATTAAATCATCGGATATAAAATGCATTAGTTTTGGTTTGAGTGTTCACACACATTATTTGCTTCTGGTAATTTTAAAGTTATCGAGGATTTTTTGTCATGTAATATCGCCATGAGAGGGACGTTTTAAATTCAGAAAAATTATTTGTATTTTTGATCATACGGCATGTTTCGGGATCGACAGTTTTTTTAAATTATCGCTTTTTTGTATTTCATTATAAATTTTAATTTGCAGTCATTAATTTTTACTTTAAAAGATCATATTTACATTATAATTACGCGTTGAGAGCTGATGCTTGGATTAAAACTATGTAAATTGTTTTCGCATGTAACAGTAAAATCAATAATTTTTTGTTTAGTTTTTCACATTTATATTTGCATTGAAACTTGAGAAGTAGATTTATTTTTAAGAAGGCTTCTGGTAAGTCTAACGTTATCAAGAATTTTGTTTTATATAATCTTGCTATTAGAGCGACGTTATAAGTTTTAAATTCTGGAAAGGTAATTGCATTTTGAACATACGACCTATTCCGGGACCATTAACATTTTTGTAAATTAATGTCTTATGTATTTTGTATTATGTCTACATAAATTTTAATATTCAGTTATTAAATTCTACTTCGAAATGTCATATTTAATTAAATGTCATTTGTGATTAAGTGTTGAGAATGGATTTTTAGATTAAAACGATTTAAATTAAATCTTCGGGTGTAATGCATTAATTTTTATTTGGATGTCCACACACATTATTTGCATTAATGATTGAAATAATAATTCTATTTTTAGAAGGGCTTCTGATAAGTTTAAAGTTATCAAAACCTTTTTGTCATATAATTTCGCTATGAGGGGAACGTTTTAAATTCAAATAAATTATTTGCGTTTTTGAACATACGACATGTTTCGATATATTCCGACACCGTTTTTTTTTAAAATTATATAGCTTCTTTGTACTGTTTCTATATAAATTTTAATTTCCAGTTATTAATTTCTATTCGAAAGATCACATTCACATTATACTTATATGAGAGAGCTAATTTTTGAATTAAAGCTCACCTACATTTGCATTGAAACTTGAAGTAAGTTTATTTTTAAGAAGGCTTGTGGTAAGTCTAAAAGTTATCGAGAATTCTGTTTCAGATAATCCTGCTATTAGAGTGACATAATAAGTTTTAAATTATGGGAAGATATTTGCATTTTTGGACATACGGCATATTCGGGGACCGCTAAAATTTTTGTAAAGTAATGTCTCTTTCTATTATTTCTATATAAATTTTAATTTTCAGTAATTTCTATTTGAAAGATCATATTCAAATTATATTTACGTATTAAAAAAGCTTCTGATAAGTCTAACGTTAACGAAAATTTTATTTTATATAATCCTGCTATTAGCGACGTAATACGTTTTAAATTCTCGAAAGATGTTTCCATTTTTGAACATATATATAGCATGTTTCGGGACCGACAACATTTTTTAAATTATCGTCTTTTTGTATTATTTCATTATAAATTTTAATTTGCAGTTATTAGCTTCTACTTCGAAAGATCATATTCACATTATAATTACGTGTTAAGAGCTGATATTTCGACATTTGGATTAAAGCTATGTAAATTGTGTCTTCGAATATAACAATCAGGTCAATAATTTTGGTTTAGGTTTTCACATCCATATTTGCATTGAAACTTGAAGTAAGTTTATTTTTAAAAAAGCTGCTGGTAAGTCAAAAGGTATCGAGGAATTATTTGTTTCATATTATCCTGCTATTAGAGCGACGTAATATTAAACTTTGGAAAGGTTTTTGCATTTCTGCGCATACGGCATATTCCGGAATCGCTAAAATTTTTGTAAACTAATGTTTCTTTGTATTATTTCTATGTAAATTTAAATTTTCAGTTATTTAGTTCTGCTTCAAATATCATATTCACTTTATAATTAAGTGTTGAGAATGGATTTTTAGATTAAAACGATTTAATTTGAATATTCGGATGGAATGTATTAATTTTTATTTGGATGCCCACACACATCATTTGCATAATTGGTTAAAATAATTATTTTATTTTAAAAGGGCTTTTGTGTGTGTGTGTGTGTGTGTGTGGTAAGTTTAAAGTTATCGAAGAGTTTTTGTCATATAATATCGCTATGAAGGGGACGTGTTAAAATCAAGAAAATGATTTGCATTTTTGAACATACGGTATATTACGGTACTGCTAAAATTTTTATAAAGTAATGTCTCTTTTTATTATTTCTATGTAAATTTTAATTTTAAATTATTAAATTTTACTTTGAAATAGCATATTTACATTATAATTAAAAGTTTGTCATGTAATATTATTATTTAGAGGGGGACGTTTTAAATTCAGGAAAATTATTTGCATTTTTGAACATACGGCATGTTTCGGGACAGAAAAAAATTTTAAATTATTGCCTCTGTATTATTTCATTTTAAGTTTTTAGTTATTAATTTCTATTTCGAAAGATTATATTGACATTATAATTAATTATTGGAGAATCGATTTTTATAATTAATTTATAATTAATTATTCGAGAATCGATTTTTGGATTAAAACGATTTAAATTGAACATTCGTCAGTATAATTTCAATTTGATTTTATATCATTTTTTATTAAAGTAGTTTTTAGAATACTTTTGATAAAAGTCTAAGATTATACAGATTTTTTATATAAGCTTGCTATTCAAACGAGATATAATGTTGTAAAGTTTTAAAAGCTATTTGCATACGATTAGTGTACATACAGCATGTTCCGGGACCGATAAACTATTTTTTAAATAATTTTATTTTGTATTATTGCAATATTGTTAGAGCATTAACGATCACATCTATAACAATATTGCTAAGCTAGCCAATCAACGCGAACTGTGGTGTCGCTATTTATAATCTTTTTGGTCGTCCCGATCGACCATCTATATTAATTTATAATTAATGTTCTCTCTCGCCATCGCCATATTGATATAAAAGTTTGTCTTGTGAAATACACGATGTGCAGTATTCCTGTATGATGTAGTTATCCAATCCTTCTTGTTGTGTCAAATATAAATTTTAATTTTTAGTTATTAATTCTACGTGAAAAGATCATATTAATACATATAATTATATATTGAAAGCTAGCTTTTGAATTAAAACCATGTGAATTGAATCTTCGGATATATAATAGTAACGTCAATAAATTTTGGTTTAGGTTTTCAAATACACATTTGCATTGAAACTTGAAGCAGTTTTATTTTAAGGACGCTACTGGTAGGTCTAAAGTTATCGAGAATTTGTTTCAAATAATTCTGCTATTAGAGCGAGTATTATGTTTTTAGGTTATAGAAAAATTATTTGCATTATTGAACGTACGGCATGTTCCGGAACCGATAAAATTTTTAAAAGTAATGTTTCTTTGTATTATTTAAATATAAATTTTAACTTTGAGTTATTAAATTCTACTTCAAAAAACTATATTTATATATAATTTTATGCTAAGAGCTTACTTTTGAATTAAAACGATATGTGAATTGAATCTTCGGATATATAATAGTAACGTCAAGAAATTTTGGTTTAGATTTTCACATACGTATTTGCATAGAATCTTGAAGTTTATTTTTAAGAAGGCTTCTAACAAGTTTAAAGTTATCAAGAATTTTGTTTCATATAATTCTGCTATTAGAGAAACATAATAAGTTTTAAATTCTGGAAAGATATTTGCATTTTTGAGCATACGGCATTTTCCGGGACCGCTAAACTTTTTATAAGGTAATGCTTTTTTGTATTATTTCTACATAAATTTTAATTTTTAGTTATTACATTCTACTTCAAAGTATTATATTCACATTATAATTAAGTGCTAATTGAGAATGGATTTTTAGATTAAAACGATTTAAATTGTATCTTCAGCTATAATGCATTAATTTTGGTTTGAATGTCCACACACATCAATGCATTAATGGTTGAAATAATAATTCTATTTTAAAAAGGGCTTTTGGTAAGTTTATAGTTATCGAGGATTCTTTGTCATATAATATCACTATAAGGGGGACGTTTTAAATTCAGAAAAATTATTTGCTATTTTGAAGATACGGCATGTTTTGGGATGTCATTTTTCTTAAATTATTGCTTCCTTGTATTATTTTATTATAAATTTAATTTTCCGTTATTAATTTCTACTTCGAAAGATCATATTCACATTATAATTATGTGTTAGGTTCTAATATTTGGATTAAAAATATGTTAATTGTATCTCCGTATATAAGAATAAAGTCAATAATTTTGGTTTAGGTTTTCACACCCACATTTGCGTTGAGACTACTGCGAGAGAGAAGTAGGTTTATTTTTAAGAAGGCTTCTGGTAAGTCGCAAGTTGTAAGAAACTTTGGCTTTATATAATCCTGCTATTAGAGCGACATAATAAGATTTAAATTCTGGAAAGATATTTGCATTTTTTAATATTTGGCAAATTCCGGGACCAAAAAAAAATGTATTAAAGTAATGTCGATCTGTATTATTTCTATATAAAGTCTAATATCTTGTTATAAAATTTTATTTCAAAAAATCGTATTTACGTTATAATTACGTGTTGAGAGCTGATATTTGGATTTTAAAGTTAAGTAAATCTCTTTGGATATAATAGTAAAGTCATTCATTTTGGTTTAAGTTTTTTCACACACACATTTTCATTGAATCTTGAAGTAGATTTATTTTTAGAAGGCTTCTGGTAAGTCTACATTTCACGAGAATTTTGTCTCATATAATCCTGCTATTAGAGCAACATAATAAGTTTTAAATTCTGTAAAGCTATTTGCATTTTTGAGTATATGGCATTTTCTAGGACAGCATAAATTTATGTAAGGTATTGCTTTTTCGTATTATTTCCATTAAAATTTTAATTTCTAGTTATATTTTACTTTAAAATATCATATTTACATTATAATTAAGTGTTGAAAATGGATTTGTAGATTAAAACAATTTAAATTGAATATTCGGGTATAATGCATTAATTTTTGTTTGGATGTCCACACACATCAATGCATTAATGGTCGAAATAATTCTATTTTAAGAAGAGCTTCTGGTAAGTTTAAAGTTGTTGAGGAATTTATGTCATATAATTTTCGCTGTGTGGGGGACGTTTTAAATTCAGAAGTATTTGCATTTTTAAACATACGGCATGTTTCGGGACCGATAACATTTTTTTTTAATTATCGCGTCTTTGTAGTATTTCATTATAAATTTTTATTTGCAGTTTTAATTGCTACTTTAAAAGATCATATTCACATTATAATTACATGTTGCGATCTGATATTTGGATTAAAGGTATGTAAATTATGTCTTTGTATATAACAATAAAATCAGTAATTTTGGTTTAGGTTTTCACATTTACACTTGCATTGAAACTTAAGAAGTAGGTTTATTTTTAAGAAGACTTTTTTAAGTATACAATTATCGAGAATTTTGTTTTATATAGTCCTGCTTTTAGAGTGACATAATAAGTTTTAAATTCTGAAAAGATATTTGCATTTTTAAACATACGGCATGTTTCGGGACCGACAAAACTTTCTTAATTGTCCTCTTTGTTAATACAAAATGAAATAATTTTCATTATAAATTTTAATTTTCAGTTATTAATTTCTACTTTAAAAGATCATATTTACATATAATTATTTATTGAGAGCTGACTTTTTTTTATTAAAACCATGTGAATTAAATCTTTGGATATAATAGTACTCTCAATAAACTTTGTTTTAGGTTTTCACATACACTTTGCATTGAAACTTAAAGTAGTTTTATTTTAAGAAAGTTACTGGTAAGTCTACATTTATCAAGGATCTTATTTCAAATAATTCTGCTATTAGAATGAGTATTATGTATTTAGATTTAAAAATTATTTGCATTATTGAACGTACGGCATGTTCCGGGACCGATTAAATTTTTTAAATATAATGTTTCTTTGGATTATTTCAATTAAAATTTTAACTTTCAAGTATTAAATTCTACTTCAAAAGACCATATTTACATGTAATTATGTGTTGACAGTTGATTTTTGTATTAATACCATGCAAATTAAATTTTCGGATGGAATAATATCGACAGTAAATTTTGGTTTAGATTTTCACATACACATTTACATTGAAACTTGAAGTAGTTTTATTTTAAGAAGATTTCTGATAAGTCTACAGTTATCGAGAAGTTTTTTATAATTCTGCTATTAGAGCAACATAATAAGTTCTAAATTATTCAGACATTTGCATTTTTGAACAT